AACATCAGTAGAAATGGTTCGAAGAGTAAAGAAGTGACTTGATCGAAACCCACATCGCAGTGGCCGAAAAATGGCTCTTGAGCTGAACACATCGCAATAATCCATTCGGCAAATATTGAAAAAATGAGCTCGGAATAAAGCCATTGAAATTTCAAAAAGTGCATGAGCTTACATCGCTACCGAAAGAAAATAGACTCAAAAGAGCTAAAGAGTTGCTTCGCTTGGCCGAAAATGGTGAACTGCCGAATTTGGTTTTCTCCGTCTCCGATGAGAAAACATTCGTTGTCCAGCAGTTTGTAAACAAACAAAATTATCGTGTTTACTTGCCAAAGAGGTCAGCTGAAAATGTGTACCTTAGGTTGGCCACCAGAACTTAAGCGTCGGACATGGTGATGATGTGGGCCGCCATAACAGCCGATGCTCGTTCTCCGCTCGTTTTAATCGACCGTGGCATCAGAATAAATGCCGAATATTATCGGGAAAATATTCTGGAGAGTGCATTAAAGCCTTGGGCACGCAAACATTTTGGCCGCATACATTGGACATTCCAACAGGACACCATCGCACTCAGCACGCGCCATCCAAAAATGATTACAAAATGAGGTTTCTCACTTCATTTCCAGCGCACAATGACCATCAAAATCTCCGGATACCAATCCGTTGGACTATTGTGTCTGGAGTATTTTGGAGAACAAGGTTGACACTAATAAATACCAAAGTATCGATCACCTCTAGCAAGAGCTTCGCCGGGAATGGGCCAAAATACCGCAGAGCTACATTCGAGCAGTATATGACAGTTTCATTGGTCGTTTGAAGGCCATAATTCGTGCCAAAGGTGACCAATTCGGACAAATCTGAATTTATTCTAAAATTTGATGCTATTTCCGACAGTTTTCGCCTTCCTTCAATAAAATTTACAAACCAAAAAAAAAAAAAAAAGGAGAAAGTGCATATTACGCATGTGAGGGACTTTAAAACCAAATCGGCTGGAACGTATATATAGGAGCTATTGCGTTATCTGAATAGATTTCCACAAAAAATTGAGATTAATTCCGTCGGAAGTGCAAAAGTTCAGTTCATTTGGGCTGATATTAGCCATTTGGTGCACAACAAACCCGAAAACGGATAAAGATATATATTTGGGAGCTATATTCAAATCTGAACCGATTTTTTGAAAAAATTTTATACGCTTATTTCTGAGCTGTATTTGATATCTGGTACTAAAAGTCATTTTTGTGTAGTGCATATTACGCATGTGAGAGACATTAAACCCCAAATGGCATGAAACATATAAATGGGAGCTATATATATTCCTCTATATGAATTCAGTGTAAATTGCCAAGATTCAGTACATTTGGGCTGATATTAGCCATTTGGTGCACAATAAGCATGAAATCGGGTAAAGATATATGTTGGAGCTTTATCCAAATTTGAATCGAACTTGACAAAAATTTAGGCAGTTATTTTTGAGCTAAATAAGTTATCTGCTACCAAATATGGGAGTGGGAGGAGAATATATGGGAGTTATAGCTAAATCAGGACCGATTTTTACCAATTTTCACCAAATTCCTAGTACTTGCTTTTAGGCTGAATTCCGTCGGAATTGCTACTGATATTGGTAATTTGGTGCACAATTAACCCGAAATCGGTTGAAGATATTTAAATTTGAACCCATTCTCACCAATTTTAATAAGGTTCGTCCATGGGCCAAACAAATATTGTTTGGAAAATTTCATCTCAATCGGATAACAAATGCGACCTGCATTTTGTTCACAAAATAAATGGACAAAGGTACGGACGGACTGACATGCATATTTCGGCTCAGAAAATGATTCTATGAAGATCCTCAAAAGTAACTATGGGTCTATCTCGCTTCCTTTTCCATGTTACAAAGAAGTGCACACGGACATAATACCCTTACGACTATGAGGTGTAGGGTATAAAAAAAAATATAAAATACAAAGAGCTTACGAGCAATAACAATACTTCCAGCCCTTGGAAATATTATTATCATTCATATGCACCCTTTGTGTTCTTACTACTGCCAGGTCTCTCGCTGAATGCCTGTTAAATTTATATAAATTGGCTTTTATTGTAGTACCCGAGGGAGATTCTCATGTAAAACCACTTTGACATTGACCTCCAAGAAAACTAATTACGTAGTAACGAAGACAAAAAACAAGAAAAAAAATAAAATTACAGACTGTCCTAAGCAATGTTATTATTATTCTGGTGCATTATAATTTGAAACTATTCATGCTTGAAGCAAAAAGAACACAATTATTCACACATTATAATTTAAACGAGGCTGGTATGGGAATGGGAGGTATAAAGAACATATTAATGTTATTTGGATATTTTTTAGAATCGGTACAAAAAAAAAAAAAAAAAAAAAAAAAACAAGTAAAATAGTATCAGTCGGTTTTGCCGACAGATGTATGCTATCAGCCTATGTTCGATTACCTAAAGATATTTTGACTTGTTTTATAATTATTCAAACTGTTGACCCTTTGTGGAGTGGGTTGTGAGGGAATGAGCCAAAATTGTCTACTTCGTATCGGATTGTCTATATCGTAAATAAATATGATATAAATATAAAAATGGGGTAACTTGGTAACAGGTTTGGTAATTTCCTTCACTTTACATAACACATGTGATCATTTTTATAAAATGTTAACATGTGCGTGAGGTACCAGGTATAGTCAACAGAAGTATTCCATTTTCATGCTTCATCTAATAAATACAAAAACATTGGTATGGGCAAAATTACAAGAAAATCGAAAATTTATATCCAATTTATGGAAAATCATAAATTCCAAATTCATCTCAGGTCTCTGCTAAAGAGAAATATCTAGATGAGACAAGTTATAACAGATAAAAGTATTGAAAATTGTAATTTTTTGTGGTGGAGGTACCATAAAGGTTTTTACAGATAAATATCATCTTCCCAAAAACAGATCTTGTGCTGATGAAAACATTGAGATGTACCAACTCTGGATTGGAATCGGTTGTTAATTTAGATTTTTATAAGCTTCAAGGATATTCAAAATTTTGAACTTTTGTGGGGATGTACCAGAAGGAGTGGACCATATATATCCCATCTTCGCAACATATATTGTGTTAGAAGAAATAATGGGATGTTTGAAATATAAAGTGAACCTGATGCTTATTTCACGTTTTATGACGTTCATGGATATTTACAATTTTGACCCTTTGTAGGGGAGGTACCAGAAGGAATGGTCCGATCTCTACTGTTTTTATAACGGATCCTCTGTTGATGGAAACATTCAGATGCGCTAAGTCTAAATGGAATCGGATGTTAATTTCGCGTTTTATGAGCCTAATTTCGACCTTTTGTAGGGGAGGTACCGAAGGAGTAAACACCATACCTTAGGTTAACATAAATATTGGGGTGTGTGAAATTTGAAGACAATCGGATTCTTACATCACATTTTATAAGAGTTATGATGATTCAAAATTTTGACCCCTTGTGGGGGAAGCACTTGATGGAGTGGACCGATATTATCCATCTTTGTACCTGATCGATAACGAAAGCAAATATTTGGATTGGCAAAGTTCTAGCAGAATTGGATTATTGATTCTCTTTCTGTGCAGAAAATATATACATATTTTTTTTTATTTCGTCCTTTTTTTTGGGGGGAGGTAGCAGAAGGTGTGGATTCCTTCTTAATGCCAGACCTTGGGTTCATACAGTTATTGGTATATGTGAAATTTGAAGACATCACATTTTATAAGAGTTGTAATTATTCAAAATGTTGACCCTTTGTGGGAGCAAAATCGGATTATCCTTTCTCTCTTTGTGCTGTAACTTATTTTCTTTGAAAATATTGACATTTTGTGGGGGACGTACCCGAAGGAGTGGATCTCCGAACTCGATCTAAGTTTGACAAAAATATTATGATGTACCAAGTTTGGATCAAATTGGATAATCCCTTTGAGAGTTATCGTCCGCACCAGCCAGACAGACGGACGGAAGGACATCGCTAGATCGATTCCAAATGTCCTGAAAGGGATTTGGTCCAAAAAGACCTAAGGTCTAAAACCCTGGCTGTGGTCGTGCCGAACATTGAATATCCTGCTTTACGTGCAAAAAATTGGAAATTTTCAAAAAAAAATCGGTAATTAATGTCGCAAAATCGTCAAAATATGGAGCTTGTGGAGGTACCGTTATATGGGGTTATACGAAGACGTGGACCTGCAAACGCATTTTTCTCTCACATTTCGAAGTTCAAATAGGAAAATTGAATCAGACCGACGAATACACAGTTGAGTATAATTTTATTAACCTACTTCAATTCTTTCGGAAGCTAGAATGATTTCCATAAATGAACGGTCATCGTTAAATCGAATCGAATTTTTTTGCTGATCAAGAATATATAAAATTTGCATGGTCTAAAATGTGTATTACGAGGTGTTGCAAATGGAATGACAAACTTAAAATACCCTCCTTGCTATGGGAGAGGGTGTAAAAATATAATTTCTTTGTCTCACCATTATTGGAAAATGTTTGTGTCTTAAGTCTTTTGATTTTCATACATTTCCCCGGGCTGAACGTTTTATACACTCCACCATTTCAAAACTAAATAAGAAAAACGTCGACAAAAATAGAAATTGTTTTGCTACAGGAGTAAACCCCTTTACGAAATCCAAACACCGAATTTTAAGTAATTCCCTTACAAAATGTGGCTAAAATCTAATTTATCCCTTTGTGGGGAGAGTTCTTGATGGAGTGGACCGATTTTGTCTATTTTCACACCCGACGTAGCACTAATAAAAATATTGGAATTTGCCAAATTTTATTCAGCCACATTTACTTTTAATTAGTTTTTTTCCTCCACCGAATATACCTCACACGAAAAATGCATTACTATTCAACACAGTGACGTATCCGCTCATTGACGCTGGTTTTTTCTTCAAATGTTTCTACAAAAATTCAAATTTTCTCAACTAATTTAAAAACATGCACACGATTCTTGTTAACGACCGTGTAAAGAAGTGGAAACTCCTCGCCTTCTTCACAAAAAAAAAAAAAAAAGAAAAATCAATGGGGCATTTTCCACGCAATGCGATTGACAAAATACGCCAACGTGAGTTTCCCAGGCCCACAAGTGGACAATGGCGCGTAACATTGACGGGAGAACAATTGGTTGGCACACGCCTTCTTAGTCAGCCTCAGCACCAGTTAGCTACAACAACAGCAGCAACAACAGCAACAACAACATCACCATCTAACAGTTTAAAACTATTTAGCCATTATTCCAAACGTCAAGTGTACTTAGAAGCGACGTTTTTTCGTTTGTTTACAAACCTTGAAGTCCAAATAATCAGCAAAGTTTTAGACTTTTTTCCAAAGGGCATTTGTTGTTGCTGTCGTTTGGTATTTCTATTTATTGTTTATCTTTAATTTCTATTTAAGAACTTTTAATGAGTGTGGATTTGTGTGTGTGTGTGCTGTTTTTTTTCGTGAAATCGCAACATTGAAACAAATGAAAAGAATAAATAAAGACAGACGGAATAGTTCCCATTTGTAAAAAATTGGCTTATTGCGTGTGTGTGTGTGTTGGTGTGTACATGTCTCTGCAATTTAGAAAAACTATTTTTTTTTTCCAGAATGTTTGAACAATAGAACCCCAAGACGGCAAATGACCGTTTATATAAAAACTCATTGCATTGTTGCTTCAAGTGTCAGTTGTAATTGTCCAGTGTTTAATGTGGCATTCACAAAGAGCCAAAACACAAAACGCCGATCTAAACGAAATAAAAACCAACCAAAGAAGAGGAATTTTTAAATCTCATCAGTACTTCCTTAGCCGTTTTAGTTCTTTGTGTAAATCGGTGTTAAACTCATTTGAAAAATGTCAAAGTTTTTGTTTGTTTTCAATCTCGTCGTATTATGCTTGTTGCTCTCCACCCGCCATACGCTGGTATCGGCCGCACCAAAGCCACAGAATGCAGCCGTGGAAGCAGATGATCTAGAGACGGGCGCTGCAGCCGCTGTTGAGAAGGATGACCTAGAGGGCTCCTCGTCATATGGCTTTGGATATTATTCATCGCCCTATCTGTATGGTGGCCATTATGGCGGTCATTATGGTGGATATGGCGGATATGGTATTGGATATCCTTATGGTATAGGCGGATATTATGGTCTGGGTGAGTAAAAACTGATGTGTTCTCAGTGTATTTAAAAAGATAAAATATATTACATTTAATACAAAAATGTAAAAAAAACATTAAGTTCGGACGGGCCGAACTGTAAAAAGAAAGGATTTTTAAATAAAAGTATGTGGATTCAAACATGGTCCACTTTAAACAGTCTGGTATATATGGTTGGAGAATGCAGTCAAAGTGGATGGAGCCGTTAAATAGGGGACATACCAAAACGGGAACCTATAGAAACAAAATTGCTATTACATTGCAAGACTTAAAAACCACATTTAACAATTCCGTGCAAAAATGTGACTGGGATCATCAAAATACCGAATATCGACTAGTTCTGTTATATGGAAACAATGGAGGAATATGGATGCAGTTCTAACACCAGTTGTAGAATGTATTATGAACCACAAATACCAAAAACACAAATCACAAATCCGTTAGAAGAAAAGAACGGATTATAACCAGCCACAAATACCAAATTTTAGAACAATTCGTTGGATAATATGGCTTCAATCGTCAAAATTTCGAATATACGGAGGTGGGGCTATACGAAAACTTGGACCGATATATCTCATTTTCATTACCAACCATCCAACACACAATTGAAACTATTCTAAGCTCTTCGTCAAATAATGTGGGCGGTTTCGCGATTTCAAGAAACAGACAGGCAGACTTCGTTAAATCTACTCGTTTCCATGTCGAAGTGTATAAAAAGGATATTTAAGATAGAACTAATTGTAATTATACCTCATACCACATAGTGGTATGGGTATAAAGCTTTTGAGCATTTGTTTGTAATATGGAGAAGGAAGCAAGATAGACCCGTAATTACTTCTGAGGATCTCCACAGAATCACTTTCTGAGCTGATTTAGGCACGTCAGTCCGTCGGTCCACCCATCTGTCCATGTATTCTTTGAGAACAAAATGCAGTTCGCATTTATATCCAACTAGCTGAACCCGGTGCGCTTCGCTACCCCTTTTGATTTTATATGCATTCAAAATTTTATTTACGAATATATGTTGGTTAAAAAAAAACAAATTTAAAAATTAAAAAAAAAAAATTTTCACTACATTAATGCGTAAATAACCAAAACTATTAGAAAAGCAGTAACATGACATACATACACGAAGGGTTTGTCTTTCGGATTTATTATTTCATAGCAAATACCAAGCGTGCAGTAAACTGCATTCTTTTGAAGTTGAGTGGCATTTCTATTGCAATTAGTGAATTCGAGATAGCAATATACTTCACCGTAATAAGCGTATTTCAAATCAATTGTTGTGTTGTTTTTTAGTGTTAGCCTAAGCCGGTGTGGGTCAATGGTTCTTTTTAAAATCATATCCCAATCTGATCCGATTTAAATATAATTTAAAAAAAATACTTTTGCACTAAACTCAGCCACACCTTTCATATTTCATTGAAATTGGTGCGTCAAATATGTGAAATCGGCCGATAATATATATATGGGAGCTATATCCAAATCTTAACTAATTTCCAATTAATTTGTCACATTTATTATTGTAACCAAATTCCGCCACACATTCTGAATTTCATTGGTATCGGTCATATATATCATGTTTGGTGCATAACATATATGAAATCGGCCGAAATATATATGTTAGCTATATCCAAACCTCAACTGATTTCAATATAATTTGGCAATTTTTTCTGGTGCCAGATTTTGTCTCTCTCGCTTTGGGTGCATCAAATATGTGAAATCGGCAGAGTATATATATGGGAGCTATAATCAAATCTGAGCGTATTTGAATATAATTTGTCAAATTTATTTTTGTACCAAATGCCGAATTTCATTGGAATCGGAAATACGTATCGTGTTTTGTGCATCAAATATGTGAAATCGGCGGAAAATATATATGGGAGCTATATCCAAATCTGAACCGATTTTAATATAATTTGGCTAATTTATTTTCTAATCAAAATCCCGTTACATATTCCAAATTTCTTTGGAATCGAACATACATATCGTGTATGGTGCATCAAATACATGAAATCGGTCGAAAATATATATGGGAGCTATATCCAAATCTGAACCGATTTCAATTTAATTTGACAAATTCATTTGGCTCCCAATTCCGTTACTTATTTTAAATTTCATTACAATTGGAAATACATATCGTGTTTGGTCCACCAAATACATGAAATCGGCCCGAAAATTTATATGGGAGCTATATCCAAATCTGAACCGATTTCAGAATAATTTTGGAAATCAATTTTTTAGATAAAATCTATCACACGTTTCAAATTTCATTGAAATTGGGGATATATAGCGTGTTTGGCGCATCAAATGCTTGAAATCGGCCCGAAAATATATATGGGAGCTATATCCAAATCTGAACCGATTTCAATATAATTTGACAAATTTATTTTCAGATCAATCCCGTCACACATTCCAAATTTCATTGGAATCAAACATTCATATTGTGTTTGAGGCATCAAATGAACGAAATCGGTCGAAAATATATATGGGAGCTATATCCGAATCTGATCCGATTACAATATAATTTTTCAAACTTATTTTGTTCCAAATTCCGTTACGTATTCCAAATTTGGAGACTGTATCTTCAACCAATCAATAGATATGTGCATATAAAATCTAAATTTTTGGGAGGTACCTCCGATTCTGATGATATATCTCCAGTTCCAAGTGGAAATTCAAAAATGTATATAGCCTATGTTACTTTCAGGCGATGTTGCAGTATATATGGAAATTTCAGGAAAATCTATTCAGCGGTTTTCGAGTCTATAAATTACAAACAAACAAACAAACAAACAAACAAACATACAAACATTTTCCTCTTTTATAGATATAGATTGAGACGAAATTTTCCAAACAATATTTGTTTGGAACCCCTTTAAAATTGATGAGAATCGGTTCAAATTTAGATAAAGCTCCCATATATATTCAACTGTCAACCGATTTTAGGTTAATTGTGCATCAAATGGGCAATATCAGTCCAAATGACCTGAATTAACGCACATCCGACCGAACCCAGTCAGGAAACAGGTACATCAAATTTAGTGAAAATCGGTCCATATATATGTTTCGTCCTATATAAGATTTTAAGTCCCTCACATGCTCAAGAATGATATTTGGTACCAGATAACTTGTGGAGCTCAATACATCTGAATACATCTGTCAAATTTTATCGAAATCGGATTCGATTTGGATATAACTCCCATATACAGGGTTGCCCATATTCGACGGACCCATCTGGCAACGCCATAACTTTTGACAGAGATGTCACATCGCTTAATGACATACCGCGTTTGAAGCGTCAGTCCAAGCAGATTTTTACCATGAACCAATACACGCCACGCGAGCGCTCTGAAATAGTTGAAATTTACATTCAACAGAAGAAGTCAATTGTGAAAAAAAAAATGTGAAAAGTGCGCCTTCTAAGAACACCATTAAGCGTTTATACGAAAAATATTCGACTGGTAAAGCTCTTTCTAATCCGAAGAGGCCATATAAAAGTCGACCAAGGCGATCGGCCTAGAATATCGCTGCCGTACGAGCCAGTGTTGAGAGGTCCCCAAGAACATCCCAAAAACGCCGTTCTCAGCAGTTGGGCATGGCTCGGTCCACTTTACAACGGATTATTCGCTTTGATTTGCATTTGTTTCCGTACAAAATTCAATTGTTGTCTGCGGACAAACCTCGTCGATTGGAATGGGCCCAAAAATTTCTTTGATTTAAAAAAAAAACATGGGTCCGTCGAATATGGGCAACCCTGTATATCTTTACCCGATTTCATGTTATTTGTTCACGAAATGGCTAACATCACGAAATGGCAATTCCGATTAAATTCATTGTAGAACAAGTGTTGAAAATCGAATATAGCTATAGCTCCCATATATATTTTCCATCCGATGTGGGATTTTATGTCCCTCACATGCTCAGCATGCACTCCACAATAATGATATTTGACATCGGACTCAGATACAACTTGAAAATACCACTGCCAATTTTTATCAAGATCGGTCGTATTTGTATATACCTTTGATATACGTCTTCATCCGATTTTTGGTTATTGACCACCATATATTTAATATCAGCCTATATTAAAAAGATTTTTTTTTATTCAACCGGATTTTTTCCCTTTGGTAAAACTCTGTCCGGTATATCTATTGCTCCAATAAAGTTTTTTTTTATATAATTTTTATCGAAGTCATATCATGCAGCAATGTTTTGTTTGGTTTTAAATTCGTTTAAAGTCGATGCAGAGTTGTAGGTTATAGTCGGTTCCGCCCGACTTTTGATCTTTCCGTACTGTTCGTTTTTATAACATTTATGTTAATTGTAAGTTAGAATCATATTCTTTCTCTCTCCCATTGTAGAGAGAGAAAGAATATGATTCTAAATTCAAAAAACTCCAATTTCGTATACATTTCATATAATTTTTCAAATTCTGAAAATCACATCTGTCAATTTGGAATCTATCTAGCCAAGCACAGCCGATTTTATCCAAACATAATATTTTAAGAAAACTTAGATCGTGTCCAAAGATGGACAATATCAGTCCATTTCTTTTTCAAAATTTGGAGTGAATACATACCTCAACGTTAACTGTAAATAAGACTTATGACAGAAATCAATATCTAATTTTCTACGAACGAAGCACATCCGAATATTACAGCTTATGTCAGGTAATTACATTAATATAAGTTTTATATCTCATTTCAGGATATCCATACTACGGAGGTTACTACGGCTATCATGGTCTGCATGGTCACTATTTCTAACTTTAACACATTATAAAAAAAAAATTAGTTTATTTCCATAAGTATTATTATTATTATTTGGGAAAAACCAAAGTCTAACTTTTATTGTCGTTTCTTAATCATTAATAATATCTATATAACCTATTCATCCAATACCTTCCAAATAGAAGAATTATCAAAATTATCTTGTAAGTTCTTGGGATTTTTATACACAGCGATTTATAGGTCTTATTCTTGATTTACCTTGCGAGGTTTACCCCGCTATACATATAAACTTCCGCTCAGTCCCTTATTAAGTATATACATGCATATTGATTTCAGTTTAATTTTTATTGTATTATTTAAAAGACTATCCACTTATTGTTTTAATATTTTTTATTGAGACAATATCTCTTTGTTTCCCTTTAAAGGGATAATCAAAAAGTGAATATTGTGTCATTTTTGTTGTTTGTGCTGCTTTCTATATATATATTTTTAATAAATACAAATTTTAAAACTAAGAAATATATTCATTAAAATTGTTTTATTTGTTTTTTTTTTTATTTTATAATTCTAACATTTATTCGTCAGACATTCATTTTAAATAGCAAACTCGAAAATATAATCCAAATAGTTCCATTATTGCAAGAAAAATACAGGGTGAGTGGAAAAATTGCAACCAATTTCAGACTGCTATCATTTCCAAGCCACTCGTCCGACAGCTGTTTAAATTATTCCAGTGTCAGCTCATTATATTGTTTACAAGCGTACAAAAGCGTTTTGGTGAGAATTTTTCAGAAAAAAGTTATTCGTGAAGGAATTCAAGTGTAATAGTGTGATTTATTTATATGTGGCTGGAAAACCGCAAGTGACTATGGTTAGAGCACTCCAGCATTTAAATGTGAAAAAATCTTTGTATCTCATACCATCGCTCATTACCGTGATACTGGTAGCGTATCCCGACGTCAAGAAAATAGACGGAAGAAAACAGCAACATCAGCACCTAAGGTTCGAAAAGTAAGGAAACGACTTTGTCGAAACCGTCGCAGTGTCCGAATAATGGCTGGTGAGCTGAACATATCGTAATATTCCATTTGGCAAATATTGAAAAATGAGAAAATGAGGGGTAAAGCCATTGAAATTCCAAAAAGTGCAAGAACTTACATCGCAACTGAAAGAAAATAGACTCAAAAGAGCTAAAGAGTTGCTCCGCTTGGCCGAAAGTGGTGAACTTCCGAATTTGGTTTTCACCGATGATAAAAAAATGATCGCGTTACTTGCCAAAGAGGTCAGCTAAAAATGTGCACCTTCGGTTGGCCACCAGAACTCAAGCGCCGACCATGTTGAGTGTGTGGGCCGCCATAACAGCAGATGGTCTCTCTCTGCTCGTATTAATTGGCCGTGGCATCAGAACATATGCCGTATGTTATTGCGGATATTCTGGAGGGTGTATTAAGGCCTTGCCGCAGACCTTGAACATTCCAACTGGACTCAGCACCATTGCACTCAGTACGCGCCAACCAAGAATGGTTATATGACCACCAAAATCTACGGAAAGCAATTCTTTGGACTATTGTGACTGGAGTATTTTGTAATGCAAGGCTGGCACTAAGAAATACCAAAGTGTCGATCACTTCAAGCAAGCGCTTCGCCGGGAATGGGCCAAAATACCGCAGACCAACATTCGGACAGAGTGTGACGGTTTCATTGGCCGTTTGAAGGCCATAATTCTTGCCAAAGGTGACCAATTCGAAAAAATCTTAACTTATCCTAAAATTTGATGCTATTTCCGATATTTTTCGCTTTCATTCAATAAATTAAAAAAAATGTAAAATAATCTTGAAAACCCCTACGTTTGTAATAGCTCTTGAGAAATAATCTTTAAAAAATCCACCCTTCCAACAGTCCTTGAAAAATAATCTTTAAAAAATCCACGTTTTCAACATACCTTGGAAAATAATCTTTAAAAAATCCGTGCCTATGGCAGTCCTTGAGAAATAATCTTTAAAAAATCCATGCCTATGGCAGTCCTTGAGAAATAATCTTTAAAAAATCCACGTTTTGAACATACCTCGGAAAATAATCTTTAAAAAATCTGTGCCCATGGCAGTCCTTGAGAAATAATCTTTAAAAAATCCACGCCTATAGTAGACCTTGAAAAATAATCTATAAAAAATCTACGCCCATAGTAGACCTTGAAAAATAATCTTTAAAAATCCACGCCTATAGTAGACCTTGAAAAATAATCTTTAAAAAATCCACGCTTGTAATAGGTCTTGAAAAATAATCTATAAAAAATCCACGTTTTGAACATACCTTGGAAAATAATCTTTAAAAAATCCGTGCCTATGGCAGTCCTTGAGAAGTAATCTTTAAAAAATCCATGCCTATGGCAGTCCTTGAGAAATAATCTTTAAAAAATCCACGTTTCGAACATACCTCGGAAAATAATCTTTAAAAAATCCGTGCCTATGGCAGTCCTTGAGAAATAATCTTTAAAAAATCCACGCCTATAGTAGACCTTGAAAAATAATCTATAAAAAATCAACGCCTATAGTAGACCTTGAAAAATAATCTTTAAAAAATCTACGCCTATAGTAAACCTTGAAAAATAATCTAAAAAAATCTACGCCTATAGTAGACCTTGAAAAATAATCTTTAAAAAATCCACGCTTGTAATAGGTCTTGAAAAATAATCTTTAAAAAATCCACGTTTTGAACATACCTTGGAAAATAATCTTTAAAAAATCCGTGCCTATGGCAGTCCTTGAGAAATAATCTTTAAAAAATCCACGCCTATAGTAGACCTTGAAAAATAATCTTTAAAAAATCCACGCCTATAGTAGACGTTGAAAAATAATCTTTAAAAAATCCACGCTTGTAATAGGTCTTGAAAAATAATCTTTAAAAAATCCACGCTTGTAATAGGTCTACGCTTCTTAAAGTCCTTGAAAAATAATCTTTAAAAAAATCCACGCTTCTAAAAGACCTTGAAAAATAATCTTTAAAAAATCTACGCCTATATTAGTCCTTGAAAAATAATCTTTAAAAAAATCCACGCTTCTAATAGTCCTTGAAAAATAATCTTTAAAAAATCTAAAAAAATCCACGCTTCTAATAGTTCTTTAAAAATAATCTTTAAAAAAATCCACGCTTCTAATAGTCCCTGAAAAATAATTTAAAAAAAAAATCCACGCTTCTAATAGTCCTTGAAAAATAATCTTTAAAAACATCCACGCCTATAGTAGTCCTTGAAAAATAATCTTCAAATATCCACGCCTTCAGTAGTCCTTGAAAAATAATCTTCAAATATCCACGCCTTTAGTAGTCCTTGAAAAATAACCTTCAAAAAATCCACGCCATTAGTAGTCCTTGAAAAATAATCTTCAAAAATTCCACGCCATTAGTAGTCCTTGAGAAATAATCTTCAAAAATTCCACGCCTATAGTAGTCCTTGAGAAATAATCTTTAAAAAAATCCACGCCTGTAGTAGTCCTGGAAAAATAATCTTTAAAAAAAATCCACGCCTATAGTAGTCCTTGAGAAATAATCTTAAAAAAATCCACGCCTATAGTAGTCCTGAAAAATATCTTTAAAAAAATTCACGCCTATAGCAGTCCCTGAAAAAAATCTTAAAAAAATCCACGCCTTAGTAGTCCTTGAAAAATAATCTTTAAAAAAAATCACGCCTATAGTAGTCCATGAAAAAAATCTTAAAAAAAATCCACGCCTTTAGTAGTCCTTGAAAAATAATCTTTAAAAAAATTCACGCCTATAGTAGTGCATGAAAAAAATCTTTAAAAAAAATCCACGCCCTTAGTAGTCCCTGAAAAATAATCTTTAAAAAATCCACGCCTATAGTAGTCCATGAAAAAAATCTTTAAAAAAATTCACGCCTTTAGTAGTCCTTGAAAAATAATCTTTAAAAAATCCACGCCTTAGTAGTCCTTGAAAAATAATCTTTAAAAAATCCACGCTTGTAATTGTCCTTGAAAAATAATCTTTAAAAAATCCACGCCTTTAGTAGTCCTTGAATAATAATCTTAAAAAAATCCACGCCTATAGTAGTCCCTGAAAAATAATCTTTAAAAAATCCACGCTTCTAATAGTCCGCGCTCCTAATAGTCCTTGAAAAATAATCTTTAAAAAATCCACGCTTGTAATAGTCCTTGAAAAATAATCTTTAAAAAATCCACGCCTATTGTAGTCGTTGATATATAATCGAGGGAGTACCATTATATAGAGATAAGCTAATACTTGCAGCTATATATGCCATTTTCGGACAGGAGACGACAATTCCATAAAAAGAATTGACCAAAATCATGAAAATACAGAATATCTGGTGGTAATATATTATGGAGGCAATATTCAATCGGAGACAGGTCTGAAAATCATTATATAGATGAGTTACAAACGAAATGACAAACTTAATATACCCTCCATGCAATGTATGAGTAGGGTACAAAAAGACACACCAACATTGAAATGTTCTACCAAAAACAAAACCCACAAATCAACAAAGAAATTAAAACACTCAAATAATAATGGTGACGTTAAAAATACTCGATACCTGATATTTATTATTAATTATAAACATTTTTATGGGTTTGGTCAGATTATGTGACGACTACGACGACGCGTTCTAGTGGCACTCCAAAGAATTCTCACTTCAAAACCCATCAAAACAAGATTGATTGATGGATAATTGCAGCATTTATTGTATGCCAATGAATTTCAGTCAAAACTAATTCGGTATTCAAAAGTAGTTTTCAATTATTTAGTTGGTAACTTCACACTGTGCTCAACTTTAAATGATTTTGGTGGTAGGTCGATCGATCGCCATCTGATATTGACATGTTTTGCACTAATCTGGTCGAAATATATTTTCTGTCTCTTAAAGTTTCTAAGACTAGCCATTTTCGATACTCTTGTCTTGGCTTCTAGACGCTTTACGGGAAAAGGTCATTAACACATTTAATTATAATAATTATGTGATGTTGTCATTTTGTTGTTGTTATGTTTGTGAAGCTATTAATGTTTTGTGGAATGTAAGCCTTTGTATATGTATATAGGTATGACAAATTTTATTTGATGATTTGATAAATGTTTCTGATACATTGTAGTTCAATGAAAGCATGCGTATTACTAGTTTTGTGAAATAATAAAAAAAAAAAACGAAACGTCTGAAAACAAAACTGGTTCCTAAGTTATTCTTCTTCGGTGTCTATGTGTCATTGCCCCACAGCTAATTTTGAAATAATGTCTTCCTTTGATAGCATTGTAAATATATAATACTTATAGGTTTAACCAGTAAGGAAAGGTCGAGTCTTGTAGAATAGTCTACGAGAATTTTGTGGAGCTACTGTAAAAAATTCATATTGAGAATTTATGTGAAGTAGATCATACCAACTATAAACCATTTTGGATTCCTTATCATGGCTTTAGAGTAGTCAACATTTGGGAACTACAGGGTGAGATGAAAAAACTGCAACCACTTT